CCTTTCATGTAATGCTTTATTTTTCAGTCGTAAAATTAGATAAAAACACGATGATGTGAATACCTTCTGATGAAAGCTTTTGTTACTATTGATTAAAGCTCCTCAAATTTTTCGACATTTTCAGTTTTTATCTTCAGTCAGCCTTCAGATAAGCAATCATGTCACATGGACAATATCCTCGCATTCATTTTCATTACCATGAAATTCTCACTCTTTCGACACATTGTGAACAAGTGTACTCTGCTCGGAAGAGGCCTTGTACTGTGTGATTTATCTCTGACATTTGGTTCATTATAGAAAAAATATATTGCTCTTTTTACAGTCGAGACGAAGACGATAAAGTGATATACAATAATGCTTACTAAATTTAATCACCAAACTCTATGCAATTTTTGTGAAATTTCATTTACTTAAATTGATATTGTCTATAACAATACTATTTTGATATTCTCACAGTGCTGTGCAACGTTATCTCTAACTTCAGATCCGACTCACAATGAGAAATGTATCCGCTAATGTCTCCAAACTGATAATTGAGTTCAAAAATATAGAAAGAAATAATTTTCTGCTATAAAAATAGATTTGAGCAGACACATGAACTCAAAGATCTTTGACATAGATACAATTCATTGGTATCATACTGAGATAGTTATACTTTGAGTATAATAGTTGAAAAGCAGAACAAATCATATTAAACTGCAAAAATCGTTTACTGTGTTTAGTAGGTGAAATTGATTAGGACAGCTCTCCACTGTTTGAAATCTCTAAACCTTTCATTTTTCTGATTAATAGGTACAAACAGAGCGTCCCAATTCCTCAGTTGCTTTCTCTTTTCCTTTTTTTGTATCAGATAACCGATCATCTAACAACGATTCGTAAGAAACAGTTAAAACTATTCTACAATTTGACAACCTTTGAACAATAGATTTTATATCATCCATTGTCAAAATCATTCGATTGCATAAATACTGATGCTGATCAACATCCATATGTTAATAAACGTGACGAAATCGTACAATAATCAAAGCGTCAAATGTTGAATATTGAACTAAAACAATATGATATGAAAACTCAATAGCATGAACATTTGTATCAAGAAGAATTCAGGACACTTTCATTTTAAATCTTAAACTGAAGTCCTTCAGTTCAAGGGTGTCAAGTAGATACATTGACGCACTTTTTCAACATATATTTGAGTCATCATCGAGGTAGGTTTCTACGTCAAATTCGTTATCAAGAATCGTGTCTTGATGTAAAACTAATACGTTACAGTCGTCGCCATTCTTTATCATCAAAGAAAATAATGGATATTTATCCACCAATAACCGCCTATGTCTCGACAATGTACTTGAATCGTATTCAGTTAGATTATCTTTCTCGTTATGGTAAGTTCACAACTGCATTCAATTTTGTATCTTAACCGTAAGATTCTGTATCAAATAGTTGTTATTCATGAAGGTCCCCATTATATCAGACCAAATCAAACTTATTTCATTTTTATCAACATCGAGAAAAACAAATGAAGCAAGAACATAAAAATGTGATAAATATTATAATACCTTATCTTATTTGTGTTCATCATGTGATATGGTTGTCGACTACTTACCAATTGTTATTCAAGACAAGAATTGTTTTATCTCGTATTTACATACATTGCATATTGCTTCGAAACGGCGGGTATATGTATACATGAATTTGGGAATGAAAAGAACTCATTGGAATCTAATAGAGACGCGAGAGCTCACTATAACCACAGTGAGGACATACTTGAACATCCACAGAGAAATAAGAAAGAAAATGAATATATAAGAACATAACATAAAAGGAAACATAAACCCATCCATGCATGACAACAGAACGAACGAAGATGTAGATGGAATACATATATATGATGATGTTACAACGGCGATAGAAAGAAAGAGAAGATGTACATATGATGTCGTCATCTAGTAATCATATGCCGGATATATCGATATTAATTAAAGAATTTTCTCTACAGTTGAAAACATATCCACATCAACAATATATTGCTTCATACACAAAATTGTTCGATCCATTTAATATCAGTTAAAAAAAAGAAAACATATTCTTTGTGTTACAAAGAAGAGTGGTATTTTTCAGACTGGTCACATAACAGATTATGAACAGAAAGTACAAGCTTATTGACAACAAGCTAGAGCTTATATTGAATTAACTAGTGATTCATTATAGACAGCATTTGATAAAATTGTTCATTTACTCAATGATCTTCGTTTCACAAAAAAGAACAAATTCAATCATGGCAACTTGATAAAATGATGCCAAAACGAGAAAAAGTGAAATTAGCTTATTTATATTCTATTCGTAACTCACATGAAGTAAATTTCAATTTTTATTTTCTGTAATATCATTATTTACTTTATCTATTCTAATAGGAAGAAATGCTATGAAGACCCATTGCTTCATAGATAAATACACCAACGAACTGGAATTTCAAAGTTTTTAGATAAATTAATTCGACCATTACTTGATATGTATGCTTGTTCAACAACATTTATTGATGCTGTTGATTTAATTCATCGTCTTGAAACATATTCAACGAATGGTTATCTGAAACTAACCACTTATCTATGTACATTTGATATTACAAATTTATATACGATGTTATTTATGTAAATAGATACCATCGACATATTATTGGTGGTGCAAGGGGCTCAGCATTTATATTAACTCTGGAGAATATTTTCATGTGGAAATGGACAACAGAATTGGCCCATCGACTGAAAGTCTCTAATGAAATCTATGGACTGTATGTTTCGTGAGTCAGGTAGTAAGTATTTTTCTAAATAAATACCTTCTTTACTTCTTGCTAATCTATTGAATCTATCAATCAGATGTTAGATGAAGCTAATCATTTTCATCAAAACATGAAGTTAGTGTGGCAAATTAGTCAAAGCGTATCGTTTCTTGATGTTTTTATAGAAAACAAAAGTAATGTATGGATGACGTTAGTGTATCATAACGAAGCAGCTGAGCCCTATATAATACCATTCAGGTCTGATCATTCCCGCCGTGTTTTTATAAATATCAGGGATAGTGCTCTAAGGGAGAATGTGGAGATTTGGAACCCCCAGCACTTTAGCACCCACATCATCTTTTCAATGCAGAAATCTAGTTGAGTCTTATAGAAAAGATCCATAAAAATTAATTTTGTTTTCACTAATACAGATTTATAATATAGTAGATAAGAAAAATGAATATAGAAAGTCGTTTCTCGATTAAATAAACTTTCTAGTGAAGCTAAATCATATCTTTTTCGAAGTAAAAAAAAGATTTCTCAGAAAACTTTAAAAAGTTCTTTTTAGAGTAAATCATATCCATTAATTAATAGTGTCTCACTTTGCCGAATAACTGATCAATCAATGTGAAAAGGCATTTGTAGCAATTGAGGGTGGTATAGGTTCGTGTTGTATTTAATTTGTTGACTGTCTGTCGTTCTCTCGAATGAGTTTTCGGTCTGAGGTACATCTGTAGCAAACATCACTTGTTTCGTCTGCAAAATATGTTTTTCAAGCTTCACAATGTCATCATGCTCTTTCGGATGTAAACGATCGAAAATTTTCAAAGCGCGATGAAGATATCCAAGTGACAAGTCGTATTTGTTTGTTTTTTGAAATATTAAACCAATGAACCACAATGACCATGCAGCATGAGGATGTTCGTTGAAAATTTTCAATTCCAGCTCAAGCTGACGTTGTCGATAGAGAAGGCTCTCCAAGAATTGATTTCTGATGAAATACCAATGACTGATGAATTCAAGACAGCATATCACTGAAGTCATATCCAATGATATGTTATCCTCGTCAGAATAGGTTTCATCTCTGCACACTTGAAGTAACTCATGAAACAAAATTTTACACAGCTCAGAATTCAAAACTAAGACCTCGATTTTCAAGTGAAATTTCCATTGGTTGTCAATGTAAGCCATTTTAAACATTTTCAGACGCTGCAGAATACATCTCCATTTATCGGAATTATTCGCACATCCAACTGTTGGAAACTGCAGTACTAGAGAACCTTTAAGCCAAAGCAAGAACAAATACTCTTTCTTATGTACTTCAAAGTTATCTACTAGATAACTTAATGCTCTTTTTGCTCTTATATCGTTATGATTGTATATAAGTTTTTCGAAAATATCCATGACATTTTGAGAATCACCAAGTGCAATTGTCGTCATGTTGGCTCTTTCATACAAAGTTGCGATGTGCCACTGAAGAATAGCGACTTTAATATGATGCGGTGGCAAATGCTTTCGACACAATTTTATTAATGACTGCATGGTCATGACTTCTTCAAGTGGCTCAAATAAGTAGTATATAGAACGGTCGATTGTAACGAAGTCTATCCATAACTTATCAAGTAATTCTGTGGAAGAAAAATGATCTGTTTCAGTGGCGAGGAACAATTGTTCAAAATACTCTAGCGCTTTGTCTTTTATGTTCTTGTATTCATACGATTCACCCAATAGCTGGTAGCATTTAACTAATTGAACACAATCTTTTTCGCATATTTTTACTGCACGACGAATGTATGTTTCAATTATTTGCTCTTTTTCGTTTACTATGCAGAGCTCTAATACTTTTTTCAATAGAGAAAAAATACCATCATATGAACTGATCATCTCAGCATGTGTGAAGGCTTTCTCCAAGTAGTGTAAAGTACTAGAAATATCATTATTTGCTTCATATTTGTCAGCCATATATTGTAGAAACCATCCATCACTCAGATCGTTATTTGGAAAGTTTTGTTTGCATTTTTTCAGGGCTCGTTCTAATGTATTTAGTACCGATTGCTCGTCCTTGTTGACAAAATATATATTGATTAGGTTCTCCCAACAAATTCGGAAAGCATTTGCATGTATTGACATTGGTGCTACTTCGTAAATGTCAAAAGCTTTTTGATAGCATTGACATGCTAAGTCGGTTGAATTATAACAACCAAATAATTGACCCACATCCGTTAAGAAAGACGCATGCTTAGAGTCATTTGTGGGAAATAGTTTTTCATAAGTGGATACCTTAAACTTGAGTATTTCAACGTACTTTTCAATATATCTTTCGTCAATATTATCTTCAGTTTCGTCTGAATCTGTTATCAATTCCATTGATGAAAAGTCGTTTATTTTCGTTGTTTCCGATTGAAAGAATGTTTTGTAGTAGTCGAGTGCCAGATCAAAGTGCATTGCATCCGTGCAGAGTTGTGCCATCGACCATATATAGTCATTCGATGTCTCCTGCGTACACGGTGAATCTCGTTCACACATTTTCAACACTCGATTTAAATAGGTGATCGCCTCTTGTTTATTACCAAATTTCAAACTACAACGAACAACATTCACCCATACATCTTTGAACTGTTTGCTAGAGGGTAGCAGCATCGCTTCACAGCATTCAAATGTTCGCTGATAATATTTGAGAACTCTACTGAGATCGCCTATGTTTATGCACAATTCAACAATCTTCGATGCTCGCTGTATATGAGACAGATGCTGAACATGTAAAAGTTGAGACAACATGTCATCAGCTTTGATGTAGAATGAAAGTGCAGCTTCATAATCATCCATTCTTTCTTTTAGAATTCCGATGTTCGTCAGCAAGTTTGCTTTGGAAAGATTAGCTTCAACTTTAGCATTCT